TATATATATATATATATATATATATATATATATATATTGTTTTGTTATAAATATAGTAACATTTGACTTGTATTATTCGAACGCGTATGTATAGACGTGCTTTCACGGATTTGTTTTCGAATGAAAATAATCAATACGCCTTTATCCTTGACATAACTCAACTTTATCCTTGATTTACCGTGTTTCAGCTTGAAAACAACAAACATTCAGAAGCCTTGTCAGACATATATTACCTTCTGTCTAGTCACCGCCCAAGGGCAGTCGCGTGTTTATAGGCCAGAACGCCACACGTAGATATACCGACAACAACAAAAAAATACCTGAGCGCCAGTTCGTCCGACAGCGATGAGGCTGTCACCATTACTAGAGAAGGCACAGCTAGTGGGACGAGCGACCTGTAGTTTCAGAAAATGTTCGGCTTTCGTAACACGGTGGTTGAAAATCTTCAATAGATTCGATTGGCTGTGTACCATTGCCACCAGTTTTCCGTCGGGACTGTGAAAGGTCAAACCAGACACGAATTACACACAGACAGGGATGATAAGTGAAAATGAGAGTTACTTTAAATTGGTGACGTCATTGGGGAGTGTTACTAATTTATAGTAATACATGTACAAAAATGATAATCACTCAATTGAAGCTAATGTAGACATGGGTATACCGAGCACGATGAAGTTAAAATAAAATGGATCACATTTCAGTATTTGCCGAGAGCAGTATAACGACTTCTGTACACAAGTCTGGTTTTATAACGGAGATCACTAGTGTAAAGGATTTACTAGCCAGGATTTAGATGAATTCGAAAAAAAACGGATTAGGATCAGTTTTCTGTTCATGCTTCGCTCGTAATGTCGCTATAATATTAAAAATTCTTCATTCTTGTCTTGGGCTTTCTTGGGAATAGAGAAATGAGAAAGGGAAACTAGGAATAATAATGCATACTAATTTTTACTAAGGTGAGTGGTGGTCATCAAGTACCATGCGTTCCAATTGTGTGTAAGCAAACAATGTACATACGTTGTATACGTAGTGTGGGACCCACACCGAACACAGCGCGTCCCGATATTCATCGTTTTTTGATGTTCAGGTATCACACAGTAAATTAAGTTGATTTACAACAATGACCAGAAAAAATAATAATTTTGACATTAATCACAGAAAGAACAGCGTCTGTTTTACACCATACTAATTTAAAGTGTTTGACTATAATTTCAAGTTCAAGAACAATATAACGACCGTATGATCACACCAAGGCATTGCAGGACACACCCAACAAAGTCGATTCACAAATCAATGTATAAATATAACGACCCTATGATCACACCATGGCATTGCAGGACACATCCAACAAAGTCGATTCACAAATCAATGTATAAATATAACGACCCTATGATCACACCATGGCATTGCAGGACACACCCAACAAAGTCGATTCACAAATCAATGTATAAATATAACGACCCTATGATCACACCATGGCATTGCAGGACACACCCAACAAAGTCGATTCACAAATCAATGTATAAATATAACGACCCTATGATCACACCATGGCATTGCAGGACACACCCAACAAAGTCGATTCAC